CATCTGATAACAAGTCTGTCTCATGCACTGGACTCTGATCTCTTCAGGACAGGGAATCCACCTTATTAACCTCTTTGCAACAGCATTATTATTATTAGTAGTAGTAGTAGTAGTAGTATAGACTGCTAAGTTAAGTAAAATATTCTAGACAGTCAGACAGGGCTAGGCCCTGAAGGAAGTCACTGCAGAGGATGAGAACATATCACAACTGTGGTGCCAGAGGCACATTCATTAAAGACCAGGCCTTGAAATAGAGACAGAATGACCAGGTCTATGTGTTTGCCAAGGGGTAAGCAACATACGATAACTGGTATCACCTAGTCCAATAATATCTAGATAGACATCAGTCACATAGGTGGGTGACCAGAACTTCCTAAAAAGGTCCTTGTTCTTTCTTTGTACACTTGCTACATGACCTGCTTCCCCACTGAATCAATATTACCTAAGCTGCTATAGTCGTAATCTTATTGGTTGATCATAGTTACATCCCACATTGTACCTACCTTCTGATTTTATACCCACTCCATGATGTTGTTCTAAAACTTCTTTTGAGAAGTGAGCTCATTGGCAACCCACTTTCAGGTCCCCTCCTGTCTCTCAGGAGCTATCTCCCTCAATAATTCTTTCCTACTCTTAAATCTGTTGATCCTTAGAATTTATTCTTTGATTTCAAGGAACACAAGCTGAGCATATATAACATCTAGAAAGTTAATATTCTTTACCCTATAGCATTTGGAGGTTCTACCAAGATAACTGGAAGGAGGTAAGAATTTGCTTTTGTTTCATATATTCTGGATTGTGACCCACTTAGGTAATCAGAAATTGTCAACCTTTTATTTGTCAGCTGCTTACACCTTGAATTTTTATGTCTTGTTTTTTGTTAAAATGATGGTAAATATAAATTGAGAACATGGGAAGATTATAATGTTTCTTGGCAGACAAGATCTTGTATTCCTGTTTTGTGTATACTGCATTTGGACTTACTGGTTGAAGAATTTATGGGTGCTCCTTGCTTGATCTAGTTGACCTGTTTTGACTGTTGTGGTTTGTTATCTTATTTTAGACAGTAGCACTAGAGAAAGTAATGTTGGAAGTCCCCTGGTGGACCTTGATACTAACCAAAATGTAAATTTATGAAATGCTGTACAGCAGGTCTTTTTATGAAATCTAGTTTATATTTAGGAAATATACATACCTATTAATAAATCACAGGACTCCAATTGCCAGTTAAAAGGCAACAGGCTGGAAACCATTCCTAAAACTTGGAGGACAGGTTTCCCTGGGACAGTCTGGCCTACCCCCTCCTCTGTATGCTATGGGGGGAATGTTGAACCTGTTCTGCCTCAACCTGTTCTGCCTCAGTTTCCTCTCAGGTCTGATCTTCCACTGGTGAGCAGTCAGTCTTAGCTCTTGAGATTCCCCACTCTTTCCTTTCCAGGCTGAGGGTGACAGCTCATGGGCAAATTGTCTCAGTAGCTTGCTGTGAGCATGAGAAGAAAAGACTTCTATTTTCTGATCTTTTTCTGTCACTTTGTAGTTCAATTTTTTTTTTTTTTTACTATTTTCTTTTTTGGTAGTAGGAATCAAACTCAGGGCCTCACGCTTGCCAGGCAGGCACCGCTCCACTGAGCTACATCTCTGGCCCTCTACTTCCAATTTTTAGAGACATGTTCTGCTAAAGATTAGAGAGAGGAATGCTGAACTATCTCAACCTTTCTCTCCTACCCAGCAAGTAAGAACTTTTAAGTGGAGCCCATAGAAAATGAGCATTTGCTATCACTGAAGACAGAAGTCATCTTAAATAAGGAACACATAAAGGGACCAAAACATATTTCATTGAAGGGAGAATCCCCAACCTCCTGTCTCTTTCCCCTCCTAAGCCTGGTTCTCATCATTTTTGCAGAGGGGAAGGAAGTACTTTCACTAATGTGTAAGTTGTGATTGCTGGACAATGGATACAGATTTTAACCTGTGAGCTTCACAAAGGAGTAGCTAAGGAAGACTGCCTAGATGATTAGGTAGATACCACAAATGTCTTGGGACTTTTTTGCCCTCGGGCCCAGGGCAGGGATTTTTCTGAGCCATTGCTTACCACTATCTATCTCTGGAGATGATCTCTTAAAAGGCTGGGAAGTGTTCTAACCACATCATACTTGCCCTTTGATTTTTTCCCCTCACTCTCTTTCAAAGAACTGAAAAGCATTTGATCAGGTCTCTTGATTAGTTTAATTTTGCTAGCAGTGCTTCCTTCTTTACATATGACTGTTACAGCTGAATCAGTTGTAGCTTGTGCTTTTGGAAACACATGCTGGGGTTAGGAGTGTGAGTTTCTGGAGAAGGTAGGAGTATGTATCTGTAAGGATGGCCAGTCTGACCCAACCTATCTTCTGGTCACTCTCCAGATAGCAGCACCTGCTGTGGAGCAGGTAACCTCAGGGGACACCTTGAGGGCACATAGCAACCAAGAGAGAGCAAAAAGGATGCCTATTTTTCTCCTAGTTGTTTTTGGGAAACTCAATGTCATATTCTCTTATTCCTTTAGAATGTGTTCTTAAGCACTAAAAATTGTTCAGCCCTCACATACTGAAAAGTAGCTGTTTAATATTTTTCTGCACCCACAAATGGCCTGCCTACCCTTTAGAGACAAAAGGGAATACAGAGAGAAGTACTGATTATAATACTATTTCACAACAAATTGTGCTGTAAGAAGGAAAATGGATTACCTTATGATTACTTCATGTTCAGACTTTGCACTATGAGATAATCTTTACTTGTGTTCAATATAGAAATGTAAACCACAGGAAAACCAGATGCCTCTGACCCTTAAGACACAATCAGATTTATCCCCTGTTACTGAACCTGAAGTTCTCTTCCCTTGCCCTCTGTACTCTTAGGGCTGAGGCTTCCAAGACAACCTTAAATGAAGCTGCTACTGGGATAAAGCCATCCCTGTCTGATTTTATTCAAGCTCCTCAAGGATAGTATCCTATAGGAGGTGAATGGCGTGCACATGGAAAGAACAAGGACCTTTTTAGGAAGGGGTGGATCAGGAGGCCTTGGTCACCTAGCTGGGTAACTGATATCTGTCTAGATTTTGGACGAGGTGATACCACTTATGGTACTTGCTTATCCCCTGGGGAGGCATGTAGACTTGGTCATTCTATCTTTATCTTGAGGTCTGGCCTTCAACCCATGTGCCTCCAGCCACAGTTGTAATTTTAACCTTGGAAGCTGATTCCCAAAGTACATTCCAGAATCTTAAACAAGTGCTTTTAAATGCCCCAGTACTAAGCCTTCTGACAGGGCAGTTCCACTGTCTATGTTGATAAAAGGTCAGGTTTAGCTTTGGGAGTGCTTACACAAGATCAAGGACCTGCACAACAGCCTGTAGGGTATCTGAGTCATGAATTAAACATTGTAGCAGAGGGATGTCCTGTGTGCCTTAGAGATGTGGCTGCCATATCTCTCCTGGTACCAGAGGCATCTAAGCTGACCTTAGATGAAGATCTCACTGTATATACTCCTTATAGTATGGGAACACAGACTTGGCATGTCTGACATCTAGCAGGTTGGGAATTACATTCTCCCCCTATATCATTATGATTGGTGTATATAGATGCTGGGTAAAAGTACAAAAGAATGGACAAGAAGTTAATGAAGCTATCATGAAACATTAGAAAAATTCACAATAAAATCATATTGAGAGTCCACCTATTAGAAAGGCTAAGATATGTGTGTATTGTGCATGTTAATGAGGATAGAACCCAGGGCCTTTGGACTGAGCTACATCCTCAGCCCTTCGATTTTTTTTTTTTGAGACAGAGTCTTGCTAAGTCACTAAGTTCGCCAGGTTGGCCTCAAGCTTGTGGTTCTCCTGCCTGAGGCTCCCAGAATGCTGGGATTGCAGTAATTATGTCCCCAAAAGAGCAGAGTGGGCCCAAGAGCCTTGGAGGTACCAGAGGCATCTAAGCTGACTACAAGTGACCTGTGGAGGTCACTTGACATACCCAAAGGGAAGGCAGGAAAAGGGATGCAGTCCTCTCAGGGTGAGCAGATGAGATGCATACAATTCTGTCTGTGTCAATTTTCTCAAAGAAACAGCAAGTGAGGTCAAGTGCACAGAGTGGAACTGGCTGCTGGAGATGTGGCGAAGGGCAAAAGGTAGAAGGTAGTTTTGGAGACTGGAAGAAAAACATATTGCAAATAGAGCAGTGGGTGGGCAATGCACCATTTACATAGAGGGAGAGCGACACCAGGCACGTGTACCTGTTGGGGACTTCTGCTCTTGGCCTCGAGGAACTTAAGTCACCTCCAGATGCTCCTTTGGTCTTACGTAAGTGGTGGATCATCTTACAGCTCTCCTGGGGGTGCAGTGTATGGAGACTGCCGACTTTTGTTCCCAGAAAGCTCTATAAATGTCAAGCTTCGCTAGCAAATAAAATTTCACTTCCCATAACTCATCTACGCCTCTATAAATCTCCTGTTTTCAATTAGATTTGATATCCATCATTATTTCTCATTCAGAACCACATTTGAATTTTGCTTTCAACAATTTTATATTCATTCAGGTACTGGCAACATTTTTGTTCTTCGAGGGATCTCTGTTTGTATCCTGTTGTAGTTGTTTTTATTCCATTATGTATAAAATGTCCTATTTTCATAATATTGAGGTATTAAAATTTTCCATGTTCAAGTTAAAAACTCTGTTGCTCACAGTGTAATGTGTAGGAGTAGACGGCGTAGTGGGGATCCACAGAGAAAGCACCCTCCTGAGTTAACTTTGGGACTTGGTTGTACATAAACCTATGCACACCCCCCGTAGGCCTTGACCCTCTGTTCCCAAGTGCCTTCTCCCCAGCCCTGCCACTGTGGCTGACCCCCAGATGACTTTGTGGTAGTAAACCTTGACTAAAAAGATGCAGGTGAAGACTCTCGTAGGTGGCCTTCCCCACAGGCTGTCTGGGGGTGCCCACCTCACTCTCCCTGTGCTCCCTTCCCAGGGTGGAGCTTCAGCATGGGCTCGGCCTACCAGTTCCACAGCTGGCGCGTCTTCGTCATCGTCTGCGCGCTGCCCTGCGTGTCCTCCGTGGTGGCCCTCACGTTCATGCCCGAGAGCCCGCGGTTCTTGCTGGAGGTGAGCTGGGTCCCACAGAGCCTCCTGCAGCGGTGAACTTTGGGAAGGGTAGCTGGCTGGTGCTGGGAGCCAGGTTTCCTCTTGGGAGATGGAACGGTGGAAGGGTTGCTTCATGCAGATGTGCTCTAAGCAGATGTGCTTCCCAGCTGCCTGGTGGCCAGAAACACTCATGTTCCTCCTTAAGCAAATAACTCAAAAATGAGAGTTTCCATCCTCAGGTTCTGGCTGTGGTGAGGGACGTGTTACTGGCACTGCTCGTGTAGTCAGTGTGTTCCAGTGGGAGGCATCTGAACCCACTGCACAGTCACGCTGCACGCGTGCTGACAACGCGAGGGCCAGGGGAGCGAGGGAGCATAACTGGCACCCAGCGCCTCACTGTCTGCCCAACATTTCTTAGGTGGGGAAACACGACGAAGCCTGGATGATCCTGAAATTCATTCACGACACCAACATGCGCGCACGGGGCCAGCCTGAGAAGGTCTTCACGGTGAGTCTGCCCCGGGTCGGGCTTAGTTGCTGTGACTTGGCTGGTAACATCCGGGTTCTGGACTTCACTTTCCTCATCTGCAAGTGATTATAATGTTTATGAATATACAGTTAGAATGTATAATTATAGAACGAATACCCTGTGGGGTTCTTGGGAGGGACTCCATAAATAGTAGTATTTAATATAACTCACATCTGCGCAGATACAAGTGTGTGTGTACACAGGAGTGTGTATATGTGGGCAGGGCTGGTAATAGGACAAAGATAAGGTTGTAAAGTCGTGCTTTCTGCTCCCACCTAGAAGCCCACACTTTACCTGCCTCCAGCCACAGGTACCACTTTACCTGTCTTCCTTTCTTCCTGCACCACTGGGAGGCGCCACTGGGAGGCGCCTTACCACATGAGGTCCCAAGGTGTGGCAGGCTGCCAACCAGGCTGGCTGGGCACTGTGGTTCAAGATTTCCAAGATGCCCCATCAGCACTGTGCCCTGCAGTAGAGGAACCTGGACGCTGAGCTTCATACAAAGGCGCAGGCCAAACAAACCCCAATGAAACCTCCATAAGCGTACAAAAACACATATTTTTTTTTTTTTAAAAAAGCTTCTTTTAAAAGTTCCTCCCAGAGACTGGCTATTTAGCTCAGAGGGAGAGCAGCTAGAGCACGCATGAGGCCCTAGGTTTAATCCCTATCATTACCCACTCCACCCCTTCCCACCCCGCAAAAATCCTCCAAGTTTGAAAACCAGACAAGCACATTCACAAAAGGAGATAGCCGGGGATTTAGCTCAGTGGTACAGCGCCTGCCTAGCAAGCCTGGGATCTGAATTTGATTGCCGGTACCTCCCCTTCAAAAAGAAACACATAAGGAGATAGAAAGATATTATCATAAAAGAGTCCAGAAAAAGGTAAGGCATGGTGTCCCCAGTTCACCTGCTGGCCAGCCACTGTGAGCTCGGCGGTGGACAGGGAGAAAAGGCTGATGTGCTGCTCTGTGAAGAACAGCTGGATGAGAATGGGTTTGGTGCTGTTGTTAGAGGTCAAATTCATCATCCAAGGAGGTTCCCAAAATTGTGCACAGCCACGTTAGTTCCGGTGACATAATTCCAAGCCCAGAGCTAATCTAGGTGCAGGTCTTCTTCCTCGTGTGTATCTTGGCGGTGATGATTTGGAGCAGGTGTTTCTGTCTCTGGACACTCGCCGCCTCCCTGTCTCCTTAGATGCCTCACCACTCACTCCCACTCTGTTCTTCAGGTGCTGGTTGCACTGGGACACCAGTCCCACTGGCCTTGTGTGTGCGGGGAGTGATTACTTTCTATTGAAGTCAATTTTTGCTCTTTTAAAAACACGTTGTGAACTCAAACTCAGCTCTTTGCCCTCTCTTGTTCTCTGCAGGTGAACAAGATCAAAACCCCGAAGCAAATAGATGAGCTGATTGAAATCGAGAGTGACACCGGGACCTGGTACCGGAGGTGTTTTGTTCGGGTCCGCACAGAACTATATGGAGTAAGTCTTGAGTCCTGCAGGGCCTGTGTGTCAGTGTTGCTTGGGCACAGTCAGAAGAAGGGCTCACTGTGACTGTCCCACAAGCCAGGCTCCTGCCCACCCACCCAGGACGCCTGGCTTCCAAGGTGGGGCAGGGCAGTGGGCCCCTTCTGGATTGGCTGCCAGCCTGCGAGCCCCATCTTTGGGAAGGAAGGTGTCAGGCCAGGAGTCGGGCAGTGATAGGCTGCCCTAGATCTGTGGACCTCCTGGAAGCCGAAAAGTGACAGTTCCAGTATTTGGTTCCCTGTGGCCTTACGCTTTTACATGTTAAGTTAAGATGAACTCAGCCCAAGAAAAACTCAGCTTTTTAATAATTTGATGGGAAGAGTGAAGTTGACTAACTGAGAAAACTAACTCTCTAATATTTCACAGATTTGGTTGACTTTTATGAGATGTTTCAACTACCCTGTCAGGGAAAATACAATAAAGCTTACGATCGTCTGGTTCACCCTGTCCTTTGGGTAAGTGATACTTAAATTCTTGGGGGACTGAACTCATGCAATGTCACTCATAGCTCCCAGCTGTGTCTCTGGTTTTTCTTACCCTGCTTGGTGCCATTCACCTGCTGGGAGAGAGTTTTGTTCCGTTGTGATTTGTTGACAGGTATGGTTTTTCTAAACCAATGATGTTATTTCTGTTGGAAACATGGCCTGGCAAAACAAATGGTACAGCAGAGTCACTACCGCCCTGGGTGGTCACCCTGCCACCATCCACTGTCCCTCCTCCTCAGCTCGCCCAGCCGCAGCAGCATCTCTGCGGTCACTGTCCCTCAGCAGCCAGGCAGTCTCCACCCCAGCCCTGGCTCTGGCCCTGCTGCCTGTCCTCACCTCCTTCCAGCCCTCCCTCAGTGCCACCATCCCAGTCACCCTTCTTTCCCTTTTAATTGCGGCCTGTCTGCACTCCCTGTCCCCTGCTCAGCTTTGATTCTTCATGGCATTTTCCATCTTCTGCTGTACAAAAGGCTTCTTCATTCTAACAAAGACTAGCGCTCTGCCTTCTGGCTCTGGAAGCTGCATGAGGACAGGAGTGTAACTACCTGCTCACTGGTGTGTATTCATGGCATGTGGTAATAGCTCAAGAAGCAATTGTTTCCAATGAGTAAAATGCCATGTATGTGCTCTAAGAAAAGAGGAGATAGGGAGACAAGTTAGGGATTTTATTTTCTTTTCTAACGGTTGACATCTCTACTTTGTGTATGTAACTCGATTATAGCCTGCAAAAACAGTCAGATGATTCCCTACCCTGTAGGCCGCTAGGCATTTATCCTACAAGCTCTGTGTCTTAAACTAAAACAGGCGAATGATCAGAGACGACTCTTTCTGGAGCTTGCTGAGGTGTCGCACAGGGAAAGGAGGACACTGGAGTCTTTGTCCTGTGTGCACGGTCTGTGGTGTGACTGCCCAGCCGTGCGGCGCAGGTCCTCACTTTGAGTTAAGAGCATTGGTTTAGAAGATCTAAAGTCATTCTCATCCATCACCTAGAAGTTCCATGAATGGAACGGAGGCCTGAAAACGAACACATGTCAGGTGGTGACCATGCACTACACACAGAGTGAGGGACCAAGAGGGCAGACCTCTCTCTAGGAGCAAAAGCATACATGGTAATCATCCCTCGGTGCTTATCTTGTCAGTATGCTCATTTTTTGGCCAGATCTGAAGTTCTGTCATTTCCTTCCTGCTGTGTCCCTGAAACTCAACTGTGCCTTACGTCTTGGATGTTCAGCAAGTGCTGAATAAATGAAGAATTAGTGGTCACTGACAATGGGCTGTCCAAGGCAGTGTGCTTTCCTGATGGTTGCCTTTTGCAAGGGTTTGCCCTTCGCGTGTGACTAGTGAGCCATGCACAGCTGTTGCTGCACCCTTGAGTGACTTCTTAATCAGCTCCCTGTCATAATTAGGTGATAAAATGACTCACACTGTCCTGTGAGTACCCTCAGTGTGCTGGGTGCCTTGCACCCCATTTAACCTGAGCGGTTGCGGGGAAGGGGGCACTGTACCATCATTCCAGGGGTAGAGGTGGGTGACACAGGCTTAGCTAAGTGGCCCAAGGGCACAGAGCTGACAAGTGGCCAGGCCAGGACTCAAACCCAGTCTTCCTACAGTGGCTGTGCTCAAAACCACGTCTTCCCTTGTGCAGGTGCGGTCACTGGGCACACCCCAGACCAGGGCTTCCGGAACTTGCATGTGCTTCTACTCCCAGGAGCTTCAGTTCCTCTGATCTGGATGAGGCCAGGTTCATAGGCTTTGTCCAGAGGTCCCACTTTGGGAACTACTGTGCTACATTAGAGCGGCAGTGTCCAGTAGAAATGTAATGTGAACCTCATATACTGGTAGCCACATACCAAAAACAAAGTCAAAAGGGCACAGGTGAAATGAATGTTAGTACTATATTTTATTCAACTTGCTATGTCCTAAGGGATATGATTTCAACATACAACCAATATATAAATTACTAATAGTTGGTTTTGCATTCTGTTTTTGAACTCTTCAAGACCCTACGGTGTTCTGCATGTCTCCATGTGCACTAACCATATTCCCATCGCTCGGTAGCAGCCTGTGGTTAGTGGCCATTGGACTAACAGCTCACGAGCATGATGACTATATATTAGGGGTCGGGGCAGATAGTGGAAATAATCTGAATTTTCAGAGAGTAACCTAGATGTCCTTTCCCACAGCCTTGAACCACTTTGGGAAGTGGGGCTCTGCACCCCACTGGCAGGATCACAGTAGTGTGGGAACCCAGAAAGTTTTGCCACTAGCAACAGAGGTCATTCTGTAAGGGTCTCACACTTCTTGGGTCCCAGGGGTTTATACCCCTAGATTAGGAGGAAATGGGGTTTCTCAGTGCAGCCTGGTTGGTAGGAATGACCTGGGGCCAGAGTGTTGTGTGCTTTGGTCCATTTGTGCTGCTGTAACAAAGAGTTCTCTAGCTGGGAAGTCCAAGATTAAGGTGCTGAGAGTTTTAGTGTCCAGTGAGGCTGACTCAGCTTCCAGGATGGCACTCCCTGCTGCATCCCCCGCTGGGGACCAGTTCTGTCTCAACCAGTGGAGAGATGGAGGGGCCAGAGGGAAGGAAGGACTCCTCCACACAGCTATTACATGATACTAATTCTATTGATGAGGACTCTACTGTGTGACTTAATTACCATCTAAAGGCCTCATTTCTTGTTACAGTCACATTGGGGTTTAGGACCCAATTTTAGGGAGGCACATTCAGACACCCATGTGTGGGTATAGAATGGGATTCTTGCTCAATCTCTGCTCAGAGAAAGGGTTCAGGGATTGCACACTTGGGGTTTTCCAGCTAACCAGGCCATCTCTCTAGCTTGACTTTTGCAGAGTAATCTTGAAGGAGATGGGGTGCCTCTAGTTGCTATGTGATGCTTCTTTCAAATGTTAGAGGGAGCCAGTCAGAGCTGGAACCATCACGGCTGAAAATGCTGGGAGGCACTCCACACCGAGCGGGGCCAGCGCCATTATAAATGTGTTTCTTGGTCTTTGCAGGTACTATGGATTATCAGTGTGGTTCCCTGACGTCATTAAACACCTGCAGTCTGATGAATATGCACTGCTAACCAGAAATGTGCAAAAGGATAAATACGCAAACTTCAGCATTAACTTTACAATGGAAAATCAGATTCATACTGGGATGGAATATGACAATGGCAGGTCTGGACACTTTGAAACAATTAATTTGCTACCCATTCACAAAATCTGATTTCTTACTAGGATTCACTGTACTAAAGTCTGTGGGGTTTGTTTGTCTTTTAGTTTTTACACTTAGTCATTTTCAGGCTAAATAAGAATACTTCCAAACAGGCTCTGAAGATGCCTGTGTATCAGTCACTTCACCTAATGCTACTTCTAAAACTGAGTTGTCTCACGTTTATTAAGTAGCAGAATTGGTGAGTGTGAAAAGAAAAGTTAGAGAGACCCTGCAGAACAATGAGAGTAAGTTAAGGAAGAGAAAAGAAAATGGTGAGGGGTAAGGGAGTCACTTACCCCGAGAACAAATCTGAAGTGTAATTTGATGAGCTCCATTCCTGAGAGAGGGGCTGCTTTTCAGAACGCTCCCTGCTCTCCTGCGCCAGGTCGATGAGTGGAGCTTGGTTCTGTCCGGATGAGTTTCCATTAGAGAATGGCAATGACTGCCCGAGTTATGGGCTTTGAAAATGCCACGTGTGCTAGCGAGGGAAGCTGCTAGGTGTGGGATCCTTGGCTCAGGGCGGCGGTCCAGGCACATTGTTACAGAAAGGGCAAGGAGCGGATAAAGGACAGATCCCTTCCTGGGCTGTCTGAGAAAATGGCACCGGTGTGAGTTCAGGATAGCTTACATTACTAGGCAGTGGCCCCAGCTTCAAAATGATGAAAGTGAAATCCAAAGTACTCGAATAAAGTTTCCCAAAGCAAAAACCAGTTTGAAAAGATGAAAAAAATTTGTGTGATAAAAAGGAGAGTTACTGACTAGGCAGTCCTTGTTTTGGTTAGTGATTCATCAAGGGCCCTAACCATAGTTGAAACCAGGTAGGATCAGCTTCCCTCTCCCACCTGAAATCCTGGCTTAAATCTGAACTGGAATTTACAAAAACCTTACCATCAAATGCTCTGTAATTTGCTCTGTAATTCTAGAGTGAAAATTTACTTTATTTTAAAAGTTACTGTTAATCCCTTAGCTATTTCTAAAATATGTATATGTCTCAGTTGTAGTTTTGGTAATTTGTTGAAGTTCTAAGCTGGATAGTCAGCGATCACTTAGAATTGTTTTTACCATAGCAATGCAATAATTAATAATTTTTTTGTGCCAGGAGTTGAACTTAGGACCTTGCGCTTAACAGGCAGGCGTTTGTGCCACTGAGCTATATACCTGGCCCATGATTAATAATTTTAATAGTACCATATTTAAACCATTGAAAAATAGATACTGTGTATTTACTTTTTTGATCATGGAAAACATGTTCTGCATTTCAGGGAAAATTGAAATACTGTAGGCTGATACATTTTTAAAAAAACTAGCTTCCCCATTCCAATGGTACAAAGGCAGCCACCCCCACTTGCACTGACATAGGAGAGCCTGCAAATGGACCACAGAGACAAGCCACGTGAAGCCAGCCCCCGTGGCTCTCACTGGGCAGGGGAACCAAACGGTTTGGGGGGCTGCTTCTTTCTTCAGTCTGTTGAATTTTGTACCTTGCGTGTGTATTGCCCATTCAAAACTACAACTACCTCAATTTAAAAAAGAAGAAAAAACTAAAATGGCCTCCCTTTTCCAAATTCAGTCCCATTTTTTTAAAAAAAGTGTAATCTTCTTAAAATGTGCCATGTTCAAGCCTCCTTTAGTGCACTGCGATGGTTCTGCTCTGGAGCCCCAAAGTGGAAGCTGAGACAAGCTGATTTTTTAGGCTGGTTGGTCACTTTTCCTGATGGGCCCAGTCTGTGTTACACTGAGAGTTGAAAGAACCCAGCAGTTAGTGGATTACTTTGAAGTCAGCTCACCTGCCTAAAAGGATTAGTCCCTTTCTCTCCCTAAGGAGAGTAACTCCTCAGGTGAGCAAGCATTTCCCTCTCCATGACTGGCTAAGGATCCACTTCCAGACTCTCAGTGGAGTACCCAGGCCCGCCAGTGAGTATTCACCCACATCACAGCCAGGCCTTTCCAGTGCGGAACCACAGCCTCACCTAAGATGTCTGACAGCCCTCTCTTGTAACATCCTGAAATGCACTCCAAAAGCTCTCGTCATTCTACACATTTCCAAAACTGAACAGGACTCTTGTAATTCTCTATCTCAAGCAGTATCTGAAGGCCAGGCATGGTGGCACATGCCTGTAATCCCAGCACTTGTTAGGCTGACTCAGGAGGATGGCAGTGAGTTTGAGGCCAGCCTGGGCTACAAAGTGAGTTCAAGGCAAGCCTGAACTGCATAGTGAGACCCTGTCTGCAAAAGCCAAAAAAGAATCAAGCAATATCTGCTGGCTGTTGAAAGGAGATATTCCTGGAAATGAGTGTGACCTGTGCTTTTCCCAACAGAAGTAGTCAGTCCTCACATAATAAAGCAGAATTCCCGTGCCTCTCTGCAGGATGGTTGGAATTCCCTACACTGCACTACACTGCAATGCAGGAGAGGCTACAGACGTGCATGAAAAGCTCAAGGGGCTGAGGGTGTGGCTCAGTGGTAGAGTGCTTGCCAGGCATGTGCAAGGCCCTAGGTTCCATCCCTAGTACTGGAAAAAACATCCTCAAGTTAGAACCACTCACCCCAGATAGAGAATTTTGAAATGAAGGCATATGGAAGATCCATGGGGTAGGACTGAAAAATAAGTAGCCGCGGAAATGGAAAGATTGAGGAAATCCTCAATCTCTCTACCTCCGATCACATAGCCCACAAAATGTTTTACCAACATGACAAAAAGCTAAGTGAGCTTGAGGGTCGCACCTTTCCTGGTGGCAAATAATTCTGAGCTGTGAGGCAGCCAAAGGACAAGCTGTACAAGGCAGAAGAAAAGAGGAAAGTGCTTACCAGTTCCAAAGTCTGTGTCCTTTACTGTTAAGGAAATCTCCAGTACAGCACCACACCTCTAAACCTGTTTGACAGCTTTGAACTCTAATGGACACAAATTGTTCACATGAATGTTGTATGTGTGTTGGACAGATTCCTAGGAGTCAAATTCAAATCTGTAACGTTCAAAGATTCAGTGTTTAAATCCTGCACATTTGAGGATGTGACTTCAGTCAACACCTACTTCAAGAACTGTACATTTATTGATACCGTTTTTGACAACACAGGTAGGTGGGTTGCCCAGCACTGCCTCAGGCTGGGGTCTTTTCAGAGGGCCCCAGAAATATGATAACCATGTGATGGTGTGGCCACAGGCTTTGTGGGATCTGAAAATTAAAGTGTAAATGAGCCAGGCGTGGCAGTACACACCTGGAGTCCCAGAACTTGGGAGGCTGAGGCAGGAGGATTGCTGCAAGTTCAAGACCAGCATGGACTATATAGTGACTTCAAGGCCAGCCTGAACTGCAGAGCAAGACCCTGTCTCTAAATAAAAAAATAAATAAATACATAAATAAAATGCAAATGAACAGGCTAAGCCAGGAGGATGCAAATTCAAGTCTACCCTAGGCAACTTGGGGACTATCTCAAAATGAAAAAGAAAAAGGCCTGAGGATGTAGCTCAGTGCTCATGCCCAAGGTTCAATCCCCAGCATTGCAATAAAAGAAGAAAAGAAAGAAAGAACAAGTTCTCTGAATCAGTTTGCATCAAAGATAAGCTTTATTGTTTTTCTTTGTTAGATTTAAGTGCAAGTGGTGCTTGCCTGAGTTCAGAGTTGCAAAAAAAAAAAAATTTAAAGCTTCTGGTTGATAATTTTCACCTGTAGTTTTGTAACTGGCACTGTAAAATAGAACTCTAAACTTTTTTTGTTGAGTATATAGCAACATCCCCCCTCCTCGGCCCCCAAAAGTCTAAGACAGAATATGTAGATGTCTGTGATAGAGTATGTAGATGCCAGGCCCGGGAGGCCAGGAGCCCCACTTGTTTTTTGTAAGAAAGAGGAGGATGAGTTAGAGATAGTTGTAAGTGTAAAGATCTGCATTATCTCTTTGTGTTTTTCTCTTTTTTGTGTTTTATTTTAAAAGACCCATGGCCAATAATAGATAGGAAGGTGGCGACTTGAGGCTAAAGAGCTCCTCGATCTTTTTAGAGTGAGCTTTAAATAATGTTTTACTTTAAATGGACAGCCTTTTGGGTTGGGTTAGTGACAAGTAGACAAACTTGAACGAACGAGCAGTGTGGCCGGTAACAGTTTTGGCACCAGTGAAGGACTTCAGTCCCTGCTCCTACAAAGCAAGATGGTGATTTGACACTAATAGGCCCCTCCATCTCCCCAGAGCTAGCTTTAAATAAATCCTGTTTTCCTTTTTACCCAAATATATGGCTTACCTTTCATTTGGTCAGTACCAAGTAGACCAGCCTGAGCATATGAGCCTAAGCGGCCAGTAACTGCTTTGAGAAGCCTGGCTCCAAAAGCTGGAGGTTGTGGAAGCCAGGCCTGACTGCACAGTCCACAGAGACAACAGCCTGTGACTGTGCTTGCTTAGGGGCTGTTTTAGTACAGCCTGTGCCCCAGGGGCTGGGAAGCTGGCCGGAAGCTGTGCTGTTTCCTCCTGGAAGAGTCAGACACGATCCCTCCCATCATTTTCACAACAGCAGAGGCTTAGAAAACTTCAGTCCTATGGCCGCAGAGCTAGTAATAGTAACAGCTGATGTTTGAAGCCAGCTTATCTGATTTCCAAGCCTCTCTCTCTCTCTCTCTCTCTCTCTCTCTCTCTCTCTCACACACACACACACACACACACACACACACATACACACACACACATTGGTCCTATAAAATGAGTCCAGAATAGTAGCCTGGCCCTGCAGGTGGATCAATGTCTATCTGAGGTGGCAGCCCCCTCTTCATGGTACTCAGACAGGATCCAGCTCCTCTGAGCTGTAAATGAGAATGAGGTCTGGTGTCTTTGATTTGTTTGTTTTTGTTTTTGTTTTTGATTGAGACAGGGTCTTGCTATGTGGTCCAGGCTGGACTTGAACTCACTTGTATAGCCCAGATTGGCCTCAAACATAGCTATCCCGCTGCCTCAGCCTCCCGAGCTCTGGGATTACAGCCCCAGAGTCTTCGATTTTAAATGGTGCTATCTAGTCAGGTGTGGTGACTCCTATAATTCCAGCATTCTGGAAGTCTGAGACAGGAGGATCACAAGTTGAGCCTAGCCTTTGCAACTTAATGATTTACCCAGACCCTGTCTCAGAGATAGATAGATAGATAGATAGATAGATAGATAGATAGATAAGGTAATTGGACTGGAGTGTAGCTCAGTTGTAGGCCCTTGGTTCAATCCCCAGTAGCCGAAAACAAAACAAAAACAGTGCTATCTATCACCCATCTTCTAACCCATTCAACCTTAGAAGACCACCCTTCTTTCTGACAGATCTTTCTGAGAGATTGGCAGGGAGATAAGAGCTTTGACTCTCACAGGCTCTTGGCAGCCTTTGCACAGATTCAAGTGCAAGAAAAAACTCTCTAGCGGTAAAAGCTAGAGACCTTCAGGATGAGGCTGACCTTGTTCTCCGGTGGGCTCCTCCACATGGCCCATAAATTACAAATTCAGCCTCGAGGACCCCAGGAAAGCTCTGCTCCTTCTCTAGCAGCGAGAAGGTCAACATGTGGGTATTTTAGAACAAATTGTTTTGTGTGGAAGCTATTAGTACTATAATAATGACCTTCATATAACATGATAATTAGAGCAAAGTAATACTGTAAAGTAGTAAACAAATAGAATAATTAGCAGTGGCCAACCATAGGAAATCAGAAGATAAGTGGGCTCTTTAACTTCATTTATTCCTTCATTCAACAAAGTTATCCCTATAGAGTGTGGTGGAACACACCTGTAATCCCAGCACTTGGGAGGCTGAGGCAGGAGGACTGACTATAGTGAGTTCAAGACCAGCCTGAACTATATAGCGAGACCCTCAAAAAACAAAACACCAAAACCAAAGTTATCCCTTCCTTCTGCTAGAACTTCTGTTCCGGAGTTTATAACACAAACTCCAGAATAGCCCGGGCCCTGAGGTTGTCAAGGAATTCACCATGACGACCTTCTGAGTTTTTAGTAGGTTTTCTGGTCCTGAGACCTGCTGCTTGCACCTGCTAAGATCTTGATGAACTCTCTTTGTCATTATCCCTCCAGATTTTGAGCCATATAAATTCATTGACAGTGAATTTCAGAACTGCTCCTTTTTCCACAATAAGACGGGATGCCAGATTACCTTTGATGATGACTATAGTGCCTACTGGATCTACTTCGTCAACTTCCTGGGGACACTGGCGGTGCTGCCGGGGAACATTGTGTCTGCCCTGCTGATGGACAGGATCGGGCGCCTGACCATGCTGGGTATGTGCTCAGCCCTGAGGGGGAGGAGAGCTGCCCCGGCCTCCTCTGGGCTCTCTGCCCCCCTGAGGGTGTGGCCCAGGCGGGCAGGCCCCTTAGACCCTCTACTTGGACTAAACTGTCGTAAAAATGGTGTCTAACACCACAGCATGTGCGCAGTTTCCATGATGTAACAGACTGAAGTACTAGTTGGGTATGAGTAATGTCTGTCTGTCACTTAAGTGGGCGAGAAGTGGACGCTGTGCGCTGCCCGCAGCAGCCAGCCCCAAGGTATCACTCGCTCCGGGGATCGCTCGCTCCGGAGCTCTGTGCAGCCCAGCTGCAGCTGCTCTGTGAAGTCAGTCTCCTGAGAGGGGCCCCACTCCCCGGGATGCTAAAAGCGCTGCTTCTTGTCCGCACCCTTGGCAGGTGGCTCGATGGTCCTCTCGGGCATCAGCTGCTTCTTCCTGTGGTTCGGCACCAGCGAGTCCATGATGATCGGCATGCTGTGCCTGTACAACGGGCTGACCATCTCGGCCTGGAACTCCCTCGACGTGGTCACCGTGGAGCTGTACCCCACGGACCGGAGGTGTGTGACCTGGGCCCTGGGAAAGAGGTGCCCCAACTCCCGTGGGACCGCTGGGGAAAAAGATCATAAGAAATAAGCCAAATTACCACTCCCCCAAGAAAGTGAAAATCCAAAACATTTTAGTTTGTGAATTTGTAGGTTCTCTTCATACCTTTAAAAAAAAATGTAGGGGAGTCCTTCCTAGCAGCAATTAGTAGGGCAGTGAAGGAAGGCAAGAACTGTCATTGTGCCCCTGACCTAACATGATGGCCAGCGGTGTGAGCAGCCGCAGCAGCTGGGTGAGGACTGGAATGTAATAGGCTTCTGTGGCCCACACTGTGAGTGGCTGCTCAGCCCTGGAGAAAGGGTGCCTCATGCCTTCAGCGGGCCGTGGCAGCCTGCATGCAGCAGTGAGGAGGGGTCTCTAGAACATGGCTGTGGCTTTCTAGTCTGTGGGAGGAAAGCCTGACACATTTCTAGTTCCAATTAAGCAAAAAACAAAGAAGATTGCTACTGGGGGAAAATGGGAACACAGAGACTTTATATCTCATGTCCAAGAAAGGACTAGAAGGCGGGACTTTTGGGTGGAGCTGCAGCAGTTAAATAATTAAGGTAAAAAAAAAATAGAAGCCCTACTTTGCTATTAGACATGAGCTAAGACAAATGCCCTTTGCCTCCTTTTATTTCATGCATAACTCATGTTTTGTTGCTATGGGAGTTCTCTGTGTTGGAGGCTTCTGCAGACTTTAAAATGAAGGACAAAGAAACCAACCAGACAATCCCAGCACTGGGGTGGCTGAGGCAGGAGGATCGTTGTGAGCTCAAGCCCAACTATCTTAGTTACTTTCCTCTCATTGCTGAGACAAAATACCTGACACTCAGCATTAAGGAAGGAAAGGTTTATTTAGCTCACTGTTTACGGTGATTTCAGTCCATACTCGGCTGGTTCCACGGCAGGTGACAGATGGCAGAGGGCAGTAGTTCATGGCAGTGGAAGACAGCAAAAGCAGCAAGAGCACAAGGGGAGGAGGCAAGCGGCCTCTTTCCCTCCCTATATTGTATGCTGGCTACCTGCTCATGCCTACACCATCTCTGCGCCCTCCTCTTGCACACTCAGGATGTAGAACTGCTGAGTCACCTGCCAACCCTCTAGACTCCTCAAGCTGGCACAGTGTATCAAGCATAACACCAACCTAGGCTACACAGTGAGTTCAGGGCCAGCCTAGGCTATACAATGAGACCTTGTCCCAAAAATAAATGAATAAACAAATAAGTAAAATGAAGAAGAAGGGTTTCCTCCTTAGGAGATGCTGAGCTTTGGGGGCTAATAATTTGCTCCTGATCCCAGGTCCCCACTCTGGGCTCGTTTCTTTCTGGCCACAGTGGGCTACAGCCTTCGCATGTCCGGTCTCCAACCTGCACTGTTCCCCAGGAACATCTTTTCCTGAGCATAAGGGGACGCTGTTGATTCTCATGTGTCCACCTCCTTGTAGCAAAACCAAAGCTCAGGAACCCCGCGTGGCTGTCACATGTTCTAATTCAGACCCTCAGTGAACCTGCATTACGTACTTGGCCTCTGAGAGAAGCCATACAGCTGTGTGTGGCAGTTATTTGGCATATGTTAATCGCTACCCTTCCTTCATCGGCACCCTGGGGTGGATGTCACTGGCCTTGGGATAAGGGTGCTACCAAAAGCAGGACTGCGGCTTCCCCTGAGCTTTCTCTCACCAACCTCTCACTGTGGAAACAAGGCCCGCATGGGTGTGGATTAAACTATTTATTGTTGTGGTCAGCCTTCCTCCACTCTGATAAAGCATCTAAAACAAATCACTTAAAGTAAGGTTGTCTGGGCTTGCCGTTTCAGGGGTTCCAGTCCATGGCCGGCTGGCTCTGTCACTCTGTGCCTGTGGTGAGGCAGAATATCATGGTGGGGACTGTGTCATGGAGCGAGCTGCTCGGCTTGTGGTGGCTGGAAGCAAAGAGAGAGCTTGATTTTATAACTGACCCTCTCCCCCAAACCTGCTGAGCAGTGACTACAGCCACACCGTGAAGGCCCCACCTCTGAACAGAGCTCTACTGCAGAGCAAGACTTGAACACACAAGCGTTTGGGGGATGTTCGAGATCCAAATCACAACATTTATGATAAACCCCTCTGTGATAAAATGAGGCTGTCGGAGCCTCCTTCCTTTTTATTTTCCACTGTGATTTGGATACCACTAGAGATGAAATCACCAGCTACCACTCTGGAACTAGGGGTGTTTGTTGACTTAGCTCCTCCAAGAAACTGACATCAAGATGGGACTACCCATGCCCAGGTGGTACATGTGTAATCCCAGCACTCTGGGAGGCTGTGGCAGGAGGATTGCAAGTTTGACCCCAGACTGGGCAACTTAGTGACTTAGCAAGACCTTATCTCAAAATAAAAATAAAAAGGGATGAGGATCTACAGTAGCTCAGTGCAAATCCCTGGCTTTTTTTTTTCCAGTAACACATACACACACACACATCACACTAATGTGCAAGTTGTTGTGTTTTTTCTTTTCTCTTCAGAACTAAGAACAGTAAGAGTCAGGATAATGTGGTATGGTCAGGATGGAGGAGGATGTGGGGCCCTGAAGCACTGGAACACTGGAGAGGGTTTCTCACTGAGGCAGGAGAGGAGCATTCAGGCAGCTTCCAAGTTTTCCATTCCTTTTCCTGAAAGGCTGGTGCTGCCTTTACTGGAATGGGAAGGGTTGTGGGAAGAGGAAGGTAAGGGGAAAGCAGGACTCAGTGTTCCTATGACATTTGAGCTGCTGTCAGATGTCCAAGTGGAGATGCCAAGCAGGCACTGGATAGAAACCGGAACTCAGAGGAGACACCTAGGTGGGAAGTAAACGATGAGCTCTTTCAGGGTGCAGATACAGTTTAAAGCATGATAGTGGATGAGACCCCTGAAGAGGAGGCAGACGGGGAAAAGGAGGTTTTGACTGCTCAGCCCTGCGGACCCAGAAGACTGAGAGCTCAAGGAGATGAGCAGCAATCAGCAAAGGAGATTGGAAAGTGGCCTTGAATGAGGTAGAAAGAAAATTAAGGCGTTAGATCCAAAGCCAAGTGAAAAGAGTCATTTAGGATGGAGCTGGGACACAGCTGAGTGACAGAAGACTTGCCTAGCTTGCTTGTGGCCCTGGGTTTGATCGCAGCACCACAAAAAAAGGAAACAAGAAAGTCCTTCAGGAAGTAGGGATGACCAGATGCAACAGATGTTAATGATGGGTCAGAAAGGTGAGGATGGGGAATGTGTACTGTACTAGCACTGGGAGTTAAGGCAGAAACCCTCACCCTGGGGTACAGATAGGTGCCCACTGTCATCAAGCCAAGGCCCGTGGCCTCAAGTCACAGTCGAGGTGACTGTAGACCCTGAAATCGGCCCAGCTTTGAAATGAGCAACCTCACCTTTCTCCTGGCTTGGGGTTCAGTTGTCTTCTGAGTGAGCCCCTAGCTGGTTAAATCTGCAGATCAGAGGTAAGTGGCCCAGCTGTAAAGATCTGAGGACCGTGGGGCAGTCAGGCAGTGTGTACACGTGCATGTTGGAGACAGCCAGCTGCCTTTTCTTCTTTTGCACCCTTGTGTCATGACTTTTCTAGAAACAGGGCTCATGGCATGATTCTACAATCAGGCGGTGGGTTAGAGGGGCTGGGAGAGTTCAAGTCAAAGGGAACAGAGAACAAAGGCCCACGTGGAAGTAAGGTGTTGGAGGAGACAGAAGGTTGAGTTTGGACATGAATTTTCAGGGTAAGAAGATCTAGATACCACGATTAGGACACCAAGCTAGGACACAAGGATTTACGGGGCCAGAACCTCAGGCTGGGTAAGGAGAGAACAAAAAGCCAGGCTTTATGCGCGGATCAAAGTAAGAAGACTGCAGAGGCAGGGTTGCCACTGAGGCGAGGCTGAGCAAGTTAGTTTGGCAGTAAAAGCTTGTCTGTATCATCCTTGGGCCCAAGTTCCCAAGGCCAAAGTAGCCTTGGGTGGAGGTGAGAAGTCAGGACTAACTGTGGGGAGGCACAGAATAGAAGGCCCTGTGCCCGTGCGTTCTCCCGGGCCACCACCTCCCTCTAGGTCCTAAACTTTCCTCCCACCTATGGTCACAGCTTGAAACTTCGGCCAAAACCAGCTTCTGGTGACCTGGAGGGACATCTACTGTGGCTGAGACGCCACAGTCCATGCAGTGTCCTCCTTGCTCGCACCCACAGTGTTGAGGTTTGGTCTTAAAAGAGCAGGAAATGTCTGTGGTGCTGAAGGGATCTGCAGAGTGAGGTGGGAAGATGACAGAGGCCGTGGTCTGGTCAGGCACGTGTCCTTGACCGTGCAGCTGGGAAGACAGCATTGCTTTTGAGATGTATTCGAAGGAAAGAAAAGAGCAGTGGAGACAAAAGTGATGTGCCTTCGAAGTTCAGAGCGCTACTGAATAGTCAAGTCATAATATTTTAACAATTCTCACATCACCCCTAGGCACTTAGCTCTTCTCATGCCAAATAAAGTAAGCAGCCATAGATGTGGGGTAGATCATGAACAACTAATAGCGTGAGGGTCTTCTGATCAGTGGGAAATGTCTGAAAGAAAGGCCCTGCCACTAAAGGCACTGGCCAGGGCACTTCCTCTCTGCCCTTTCTCTGCTCCCTAGCCCCTGCCACCAGCAAATTTGGGGGGGCCCTTTGTGACTAGCACTGGAGATGCCAGCAGGAGGTACCTGCCACCGCCTGGGCTTGGCCAGGATCAGAGCACCACCCCTAACCCATGTTGAGGGGTTCCTATCTTAATTTGGAAAAATAGGCAAAATTTCCCTCTTGGAATCTTCAGTAAGGAACGCAAGGATAGGTTCAACGGGACTCCGTGCTGCTTACCCTCTGTCCTTCACTCCCCGGCCTTTCCCCCTTCTTCGAGGAAGTTGTAACCTCCCAGAAGTCCTGAGGTGGCCGGGTGGTGCAGGCCTCGGCCTCTGGCTCAGGGGTGGACTCTTGGCCTGCTTGGCCTTACA